ATTTATCAATTCAGAATAGTAATGCTGATTTTGCCCTTATTTCTGCTTTCATACCTACTAGTTATATCTCAGAGGAAAATATTTTATAACTAGTTGCTTGTATATAGGCTAAAAAATCAAATAATAATGTCAATAAATACTGAGCACAAAGCTAAACATGAGGACAACACATTTAAACTAAAGGTTCTTTGCTTGACCAAAAGTGTTGCCATTAATTGAGCACTTACCACATGACACATGCTCTCTAGGGACTGTTGCTAATCTTTCAAGCACCCTTTCAGGCTGAGTATCCTTGTTCCCTACTATTTATCTGGGGCTCACAGTGGGATTTGAACTCATGTCTGTCTGACTCTTGCCTCTTTATTTTTTAAATACTTCTCTATTCTCAGCCAGCTTTACTTTATTTGGATTTCCCAAGAGGCTTCCACATAGTTTTAAAAATAGAGTCTATAATTTGAAAGAGTGATTTATTTTTTTCTAAGTCAATTACTGTCCATCAGGCTCTTTTATTGTCTTAAGCATTGCTCAAATTGTTTTTGCCATATTGATCCTAGAAAATAATAAGGATAAAGGTAAAAAAAAAAATAAGTCTCATATTTGTTGGCTAAGCCTGAGGGCTAGCCCAATAAATGAGCTAACAAATAACCGATTAAGTAGGGAGAAAAGATACAACATGTCTTTGAGAAATGCTGAGGCCTACTTTTCCTTCATCTCCCTGCTGTTGGGCATAATTGTGTATGTGTATGTTCTGTGATTGTACCAGTCAACTGTGGATCAAATACTCATTCTAGAAACAGAATCTTTTGCAATCTTCACTTCAGAGAAAACACCATTTTCCTCCAACTGCTTTGGCATTTTCTTAGCAGGAGGAACCATAATGAAACAGCAAGAGATAGATAGTCCTGAGATGTGGAGCATCAGAAAAGGGCAGAGTCAAAGTGGTAAATTAAGTGAGATGGTGACTAAAGCTAGCCGAGTATAACCTGTTTTGAAATACTATTGAACACTTGACTTTCAGTCGGATGTATTATTCAGAGCAAAAGACGGTTGTTGCTGTGACAGGTAATGAAAGTATAAAAACTATAGAAATGACTAAGGGAAATGTAACAAAGGAGTATAGGTGCGAACAAGAGACCAGTGCACTTTTGAAGGGTCAGCTATTGAAATCCGTATTCAGTTTTCATTTATTACTAGTGTTCTTTACCACGAACAAAGCAATCTGAGTCATCCTGGAATCCAGCAGGCTAGTTCTGACTCTTGCCACTGTATTTTTTAAAATCTTTGTTGTTGAAAGTATTACAGATATCCCCCTATTTCCCCCCATTAACTCCCTCTACCCTCCCCAGCTACCACTGTATTTTTCAGTTACAGAATATAAAGAATTAAGAAGTCTGGAACATACATTGACTCTAAAAGTAAATTTATTTTTAATTTTAAAATGAGGCTTAGCTTGAATTACATTTTGTAATTAACTTTTCTTACATAGACTTATGTAAGGGGGAGGGTAGCCTCCCACCCTCTCTGGAAAAAGTTTGATTTTTTTTAAAGAAAAAAATCCATGTAACCCCAAAATACCTTTGTTATTTTATAATGCATGTGTAGGATCTGGCATGGCAATACTGTCTGTAAAAATCAACTCAACTATTCTCCTGCCACCCCCACCCCAATACCCTAGTTGTTTTAAAGCATTTTTGTTGGAGTCTACATGAACTGGGATTTTGCTTTAGCTGTAAAATTGATTTTCTTTGAATTCTCACATTCTATTTAAAATCTTTTAATTAACTTTCCTTTATAATGTCAATATCTATTATATTCATATGGTATCCTCTCATGGTTAATTACACATGAAAATTCTGTTCTTGCTTCCCAAGGAATATTGTTTTTACTAACAAATATTATACAACGAGGCTTTTTTTCAAAATAACTGACACGTTGTCCCCAACCCCCTGGTATTTATTCTTACCTTTTATTGCGTTAGTAACAATGGTCAAAAGGAAATATCTCATTTTAGGTTGACAACTCTAGAAACAACATAAAATATGTTACTATGAAAAATATTTTTCATAGATTTTTAGAGAGAGGAATGGAGAGGCAATGAGAGAGAGAGAAACATCTATGTGAGAGCGAAACATCTCGGCTGCCTCCTGCATGACCTGACCAGGAATCAAACCGATAACCTTTCGGTACACAGAACAGCATCCAATCAAGTTAACCACACCAGCCAGAGTTAAAATGTGTTATTTTTAATGTGTATTGGATGTGGGAGAAAAAATTGAAATTTTGAGATTGACTAGATTTAATAAGCATTTATTGACTAATTGCTGTACTCAAAACATTGTGCTGGATGCTATAGAACCCCAAAGAAGATTTTGGTATAGACCCCTAACCCTGACACATTTACATGACTTTTCAGCTAAGGATATGTATGAAAACAGTTGGTTCAGCGCCATTTTTTATAGTGGGCTAAATGTATTTGCAAAGATTCCTCTAGAGTACTTTTTGATTCTGAAGCACAAAGCAGAAATTTTTTAAAAAAAGGTTTTTCCCTGCCTATATGATAATTTAACAATTAGGTTTATGTAGGTTCCCAAGGAAAATTGAATCTCAGTAAAAAGAAAGCCCATTAATTTACACACACACATACACACACACACACACACACACACACACACACACAATAAATAAGAAAATTTTATTCCCTCAATGATGTGATTAAAGTTCTAGGCAAAACTGGTTATTGTTGTTAGTATCTCTTTTTTACTTCAACTACCTACTTTTTTCTTTACTATATAACAATTTCAGAATTTAATTTCAAAGCATGTCGCATTCTACTTAATAACAATGATGAATTTAAGCTAATTAAGAGACTATAACTTTAGAATAATTCTATAATATTTGGGTGCTGTGAATGGGACCTTAATATACTAATATAATGAGCACATGCTATATGAGAAGTAAGTGAGAAAGTCCTACCTCAGCTAAAGACTCTAGGAACATGGGTTTAGGGGATATCTTCCTTCTAGTTTCTACCATTCTGTTCCAAAGTTACTCAGGCAGTATAGACCTTACCTTCACAATGTGGTCCTTTAGGAATCTGTTGGCCGCCCATTTTGACTCTGGCTAGCCAACATCTTCTAAGGAAGAGGGTAAAAAAATTTGCTTCTAGCTCCAAAAGTGAAACCAACTGTGGGAGAACCCAATAATGTAGGATCATATTGGAATTAAGTGACTACTTTTCTGAAGCCAGCTAGTTTCCCTGAGTCTTCCTTGATTTTTATGTCCCCATGAAAATCCCTGAAGGGATGGCTGAGGCTCCAAGCCCTACTGTGGTAGAATTCCAGAACAACAGGCATCTTAGAAATAAAGAGAAGGAGGGATCTATCCTCTCAAGTACAATATTTCCACACCACAGCCAATAGCACAATGAAGAAGAAAGGGGGTGGTAAGTGTCTGTTCTTCAGGAGATCCTCATATGATTCGTCTCCTTTTGAGTTGCTTCTTTATATGCCAATAATTTCTGAAGTACAACAAAGAGGAGAAAATAGAAAACCCTTAATTAAATATAATAGGGAGGAAAATGCTATATAAGAAATGTAAGCCCCTTCTCTCAAAATTCCATACAGGATCTAAAAACTTTTTTTCTTTTTATGTCCACTTGTATGTCATTGATGAGATTGTAAGAAAATAATTTTCCTCTAAAAGAGTATTCCTAAAGTAAAATTCTTTAGATCATAGCCTAAGGAGAAAAGTATTGTGCCGTATTCTCTAAAAATTGATATTTCTGATGAACTGAATACCTACTAAAAGAACTGTCTCTTTTTTTAAGCCATCATCATGTATAGTCACCCTTATCCAGGCGTGCAAGACCAAGAACAAGCCACGTAAGTGCATATATATGGCATGACTACTTCCTCCTTGGCCTAAACAAGTCTTTGCACTAAGTACTATAATTGGAAATCACAGTTGTGTCTGCATGAATGTCAATCTAGAAAAGCTGGTACTATAAGTCACTGCCTGGGACAAAGGAAGTTTCTGAAAGAGTGGACAGTGGGGTTGCCATGTAGCGCATGTTGACTGTAGATTTATAGAATCTGTTGCTTTTGTAAGTCGGGTGTATAAGGGCTTCATCATTTCAATTTCCCTGCATAGCATTTAAGCCCTAATTCTATGCCCAAGAACTATATATCTCTTGATACACCCCGTAACCCTTGGAGACTGAGGTTTTCTATCAAATATCCCCAGTCAATTCAGGTGCACTAGTGCTACATTTATTCCAGGGTCACAGCCGAATCACGTAGAACGTATTATCTGGATGCCTTGCAGGAAGACTTATTTGTGTCACAGCCAACTCCTATACTGTTTTGTTGATGATTTTAGTCATGAATCTTTCTGAAAGGAAAAGAGGTTCAAAAATGTACATGTGCTTTCTTCTGCCTATTGCTCACTGCAGAATGAGCAGCCTCATCGATGTCTTAGTGGCCCTCTCCATCCTGATGGGCTACTCTGTCACGACCGCCAGCTTTGTCACCTATGTTGTAAGGGAGCATCAGACCAAAGCCAAGCAGTTGCAGCACATTTCAGGCATCGGTGTGACATGCTACTGGGTAACAAACTTCATATATGACATGGTGAGTAACTTGTGTATTCTCGGGAAGACAGGGTTGATTTTAGTAGAAGACATCAGTTTTAAATTTGAAATTTACTGATGCTAGTTTGTTCATATTATTACCCTAAAATAAGCAAATTAAGAAAAAAATGCTTTGCATTCGGTTTGCAAGTCATCCAGTGGTTGGGTGATGCGCTAGAGCTACATTTATTCCATGGTCCCAGAGAAATCCACCTGCCCTCATCTCGGTGGTCTGAGGACCACCCATTCCAGGGCCCCACTCCAGACCCATTCGATCCCTATCTTGGAAATGGAGCCTGGGAAATATCCACTGTTAACAAAAATCCTTCAAGTTAATTTATGCACACTGAAGTTCGAGGGCCATGACTGCGAAGAAACAGAAGCTTCGCAGAACAACCTTGCCCAATGGTACCAAATAATCAAGCTTATACAATTTAATCAACAAATACTGGACATTTCAACGTAGCAGCCCAGGCAGAATGACACATTGGAGAAGATTAGCAGGAACAATAAAGGATGCATTTTATTGCTAGCCCTCTCATTTGCATAAAGTGATCTCAAAGTTCGGATGGTTTTTCTTGACTCCAAATGTGCCTGGATTGGCCAAAAGCCCAGGATGGGCTTGCTTTGCCTGGTGATTATGGTGAAATTGTCTGGGTTGCTGTAGAGATCATTGGTTTAAAGGATTGGAGAGTAATTAACTGCATATCCATTTTGTGAATGTATTTAGTGAGGTCTGAAATGCTTTTGTTGTAGAAGTCAAATCTAAAAGAACAGTAATGACTCCTCTGGACTTAATAGGAGCTTTAATGTTAAGAAAGCTGAAAAGTATACACTTCTGTGAAGGGCTGCTAACTATTCAGATTCTGTTGTTCTAAATCTGGTGTTCACTTCAATTTAGGGGATTCTCCCCTCCCCCCCAAATTAAAATGCCATCTCTTTTATTGTGTGCATCTTGCTGTATACTCTCAACATTTCATATTTGTACTTGCCAGTAAAACCTTGTGTTCTTTGTTCATATACCTGTGATTCCAAGAATGTGTAGGCCCCGCTGCTCTGCTGTTTGGCACAGACTGGCTCACACTGATAACCAAGCCTTAGAAATCAACCATCTGAGAGAGTTCTAGTCTTCAAAATGAAATCAATACTTAGAGGACTGAATCTAATGCCAGGATCGGATGCCTGGCTGTCTTATCTTTCTCACTGAGCTTCTGGCACCGAATCATCCAGTCTCAAGGCCTGGAGGCAGAAACACTAGGGGTTCCATGTGTATTTATATAGATGAAGGCTGGCTTGACCTCATGTTTCAGGAGACAATTTTTAGAGTGAAATCAATGTAAAATAAGCTGACTTTATTGTACCAGCAGCAGGAACATCAATAAAAATTTGTTTCTTTAAACATTTCTAGGTCGACTTGTTATAGTTTTAAACTATATGGGCTATTAATTTTTCTTTAAAAACACTTGTCACATGTTAAACATTATTTTACCTATTCCCATAGGTCTTCTACTTGGTGCCTGTAGCATTTTCAATTGGTGTCATTGCAATTTTCAAGTTACCTGCTTTCTACAATGGGAACAACCTAGGTGCTGTATCTCTCCTACTCCTGCTATTTGGGTAAGCTGCAGTGAAAGAATTAACAGAATAAAAATCTCCTATGCACAAACAAAGCCTAAATCTCATTAGTTAATTTACAATTGCCTTGGGGTTTCATTAGCCATGAGTGATGACTAACAACACATTATGCTTGTAGTTTGTAAAGTACAATACATCTGAATGTGAATGTTGTTGCTATTAATAGAATTACCTGCCATTAATGAGCATTTACTAGGTACCAAGTGCCATGCTTAGCAATTTACATATGTAATTTAATTTACATAAAAGGGGAGGCTTTAGAGTGACCAGAAAAATGTATATGCATGTATGGATTTATGTATTAACAAATGTTGAATATATATAGCATTAAGGTATATTTATTTTATTTATATTTTTATAGATGTCTAAACCACACATATAATATTGTTTCTATATTAGGGTAATACAGATTGATACAATCAATACTTAGAGTAGCAATTCTTTCTTCCCTGAATGCATGAATACTATCCATTCAGTTAGCAATTGCAGCTGGTGAAGGATCTCTTTGTCTCTAGTTCTACTTCATTACCCCAAAGGTTGTTCAAGTATTTGCTCAAAATAAGACAGCCAGCTCTAAGCATACCCTGGTCTGATTAGCTTGCTTATAATGATACCATTATTTTTCCTCAACTTTAAATTGTAAGATTTATATTGATTAAATCCATATTTTCAAGAAGAAGAAAAAGATCTTGCTTAGGTAGCATAATACAATTTCTAGGAGGAATTAATTTAAAATTGTAATAATGTAGGACTGCTCAAGATTCCTTAAAAGAGAGGATTCTTACTGTCATTTTAAAAACTTCCATTGGATTTCTGTTGTTGTTGCTAAAGAGAAGAATTGTAAAAAGAAGAGATCTAGCTATGTGGCTTGGAAATTCATTCCTAATGTTTATTTTCACTTTGGAACTCCATCTATGTATGTATACATGTATGTGTTTAATAGGGAGAATAATGAAGGCATAATTTTAATTCTTAATTATTAACATATAGGTATGCCACATTTTCTTGGATGTATTTGCTGGCTGGCATCTTCCATGAAACAGGAATGGCTTTCATCACTTATGTCTGCATCAACCTTTTCTTTGGCATCAATTCCATTGTTTCCTTGTCGGTGGTATACTTTCTATCCAAGGAAAAGCTTAACGATCCGGTAAGGTCTTTTAATAATCTGCTAAACTTCATAGATACCTCATATACTTCAACAAGTCCAAGGTGGAAAAATTTTTTGTAATTTGCATTACCTGAGTAGAAAAGAGACATTTCATTAGATTCTATTACATTTAGTAGAGGAGAAACTACAGCCTTTAAAATTTCTTTTTAGGCCCATCTAGGTTAATAACTATAATTGCACTTACCCAGCAACAACACTATTGACATATGATAGGGCTCGAGTTGGGTGATAGAGTGAAATCAGGTCTATGGTACCACACTACAAGAATCATGCAACCAATTGGTCAGTTAAACTTTTCACTTATTAACAAATTTTTATGATATGGTAGTGACGAGGACAATGGCTTAGTCATATGATTTTATGTTAAGATTCATTTCAACATTTATGGAAAAAATACCAATTCATTCCCCTTTGATCATGGGTTGGAGCCTACTTCACTGTAAGCATCACTTTGCATTTAGAGCCGACAATTATGATTAGTTAGAAGGGAAGCACTAACAGTGCCAGGCAATTGAATGGGAAAGAATAGAGAGGAAATGAAGTGAACTGAGGAAAAAACAAGCACACTCCAGGAGGAAGAAGAAAATTCATGAGGAGCATGGCTGGCCTCAAGTGTGAATAATGTGAAAATGAGCCATTTGCTTCTCGTTAAGATAGGTCGTCTATCTCCTTCCATCTTATTTCACCATTTTAGTCCCTCTTCAAATAGAAATTACCTTAGGTTCTGAAGCTGTAGTGTACTTTCACTCAGGCACCTGCTGATACCCTGAGTCAGACCCCAACAGTTTGGCTATTCCTACATTCCTAAAATCTAAGGCAGGTCTAGAAGTGATTCTGTCTCCAGGGTTTGGCCCAACATCTTAGATCATCTCAAGAAAAATATAATCTTTTCTGCCTGTATTTTAATATACATATATTTAAATATCTTTTTATTGATTTCAGAGAGGGGGAGAGAGATAGAAACATCAATGGTGAGAAAGAAGCATTGATAGACACCTCTTACATGCCCCATACTAGGGATTGAACCCGCAACCTGTGCATGTGCCCCAACAGGAATTGAACTGTGACTTCCTGGTTCATTGGTCAGTGTTCAACCACTGAGCAACACTGGCTCTGCTTGAATTTTAGTGTGAATCTCTACCATTTGGTTACAGTAAATACCTATATGCAAATTCAGCATACATATGAAATAATTGCCAATCTAGATAAGCTTCTCGGGTTCCAATATTTGTCTACATCTCACTTTAAATTTTTGTCAATTTGTTGGAAGTTTAACACTAAGCTTCACTTTTATTTATCTTATTTCAGACTTTAGAACTTATTTCTGAAACCCTCAAGCGCATTTTCCTGATATTCCCACAATTCTGTTTTGGCTACGGATTGATTGAACTTTCTCAGCAACAGTCGGTCCTGGACTTCTTAAAAGCATACGGTGTGGAATACCCAAGTGAAACCTTTGAGATGGATAAACTAGGTGCAATGTTCGTGGCTTTGGTTGCTCAGGGCACCATGTTCTTTTTCTTGCGACTCTTAATCAATGAATGGCTAATAAAAAAATTCAGGTAAATACAATGAAAACAGTGTGTGACATCCAGGATGGGACTCAATTCAAAATATTCAGGGATGGGTCAATATGTCTAAGCTTTTCCATTAGTATGGAAATGTTTTGCTCAAAAAACCTTTTCAAAAATTGTAGCATAATTCACCATTCATTTCATTCAGTAAATAGTTATAGAATGTTACTATGCAATTATTGCTGTACACTAGAGAGTAACATTAAGCACAATTGTGAGCTATAAAGAAATTAAGATTGAGCAATGGAGAGAAAATATGTACATAAACAAAAGATGTAGTCTGTTTATGTTGTCTGAGTTAGGAAAAATAGAAGTGGGGAAAGAAGATTGATTATGTAGCATGTTAACAATGCATTTGAGGCAACTTTTTGAAAAATGGTGAATATGTGTCATATTAGCTAGAGATTTAGGAAAATAAAATTGAGGACAGATTCATAAATGCACCTACCATTAACCCAACAATTCCATTTCTAGGAATTTTTCTACAGATATGGTCACAAATATGTTGACTAATGTATATATAAAATTATTCAGCATAGCAACCTATTTCTAGTAGCAAAAGAATGAAATAACCTAACTTTATTTAGGGACTAGTTAAATAAATTATATACATGTATTCATAAATTAAATACCATGCAACCATTAGACAGAATGACACAGTTACCTGTGTAATATTTTGGATTACTTCTAATATTTATTAAGTGAAAAATTGAGGGTTTAGAACACTAAGTAAAGTATATTACCATTTGGGTTAGACAGGAAATATGTAATTTATATAAACACATGCATAGACTATATAATTATATGTGCCTGTGCTGAAATGAACTGTATATGGTTGAAGAACATTTACTTCTCACTATATAGTCTCAACACCATTTGAATACTTGATGTGCACATATCACCTATCATAAAATAAAACTTAATAATAATGAAAGAAATGACAAGAGCAAAGATGGAGAAAAAATCTTGGGACATATCTGAGAAATGAGTAACTATTTGTTTAAAACAGAATAAATGCAATGAAATAGTAGGAGTTAGAGTATGTGGTTGGAAGATTATGGAGTTTATTGAATGCTTGGTTAGAGATATGTGGTTTGGACTTTGTTCAACAAACCAACAGTAGTCCATTAAAGGCTTTTGAGCAGAGAGCAGCATGATCAAATAGTGTCTCAGGAGGTGTGATTTTGTTGAGATAGTGCTGATTGGAATGGACGAGTCAGAGACACTGGAGTAATTTGAGTTTCCTGGGAAAATCTAAGTGAGAAAGGGTGAAAGCCCGTGATGGTAATAGAAATAGACAGAAAATGATCAATGACAATGACTGGATATTATAAAGCATTTCCAATGCTAGCAGACTGACTGCATGAGTGGATTTTGGAATGGAGAAGATTCAAAGAAAACAGTTGTGATCTCTGGGGATATCATTAAAAGACACAGAGACATCAGGAGGAAAACTAAACTGATTTGTTGGGTTTTTAACTTTGTTTTGTTTGATTTGCTTTGGTGTTTGTTAAGCAAGATACTGATGTGGATTTGGGATTTGAGACTTACTGAGCTTTCATGGTTGACCTTAACATACTGGATAGATCCTAAGTAAGACATTCACAGTAAAAAGACTATAGAAATACCATTCATATTATTGATGATAAAAGAAGAAATAGAGAGGATTTTTTTTAAAAAGGTGATCACTCAACCAAAGGACTTGTATGCATGCATATAAGCATAACCAATGGACATAAGACACTGGGGAATAGGGGAGGCTAGGGGACTGTCTAGGGCGGGGGGAAAAATGGACACATATGTAATACCCTTTGTAATAAAAAATAAAATTAAAAAAAATAAATAAACAATGTTTGGTGAATGTAAAAAAAAATTAAAATTAAAATTAAAAAAAATTAAAAATAAAAAAAAATAAAAAGGTGATCACTGATTGTGCAATTGTAAGTGTTGATTCTCATTAATGATTCTGGTCTCTGTTAGGAAGTAACTTTCAAACTCAAACTGACCTCCTTATTACTAAAATTAGAAATCTGATTGTAACAGTGAATCTGTGGGCATTCAAGTCATGGAAAGCAAAACCTGTTTTCCAAATATCATAGCAAATATGGTGAAGAGCAGTCATACTAATTTTTAAGTTATTTGAGTAGCAAATTGCATAACAAATTTAAAACAAACCTAGTATATGATAGCACACTTTTAGTGCCGCAAGAACCCATTAAAACATGTCAAAATTGAATGGTGCCATTTCACAATCATTGATGCAAATTATTGGGTTCATTTTTTAGACTCTTCTTCAGAAAATTTAATTCTTCACCTGTAATTGAGACAATAGATGAAGATGAAGATGTGCGGACTGAGAGATTAAGAGTTGAGAATGGTGCAGGCGAATTTGACCTGGTCCAACTCCATCGTCTCACCAAGTCCTACCAACTTATCCACAAAAAGATTATAGCTGTAAACAACATCAGCATTGGGATACCTGCTGGGGAGGTAAGGAACATATTTTGTTTCTAACTCTCCTTAATGTTGGTATGATAAGTGACAAATTCAAATCTTTATCTTTCCTTAATTTTTTTTCTAAAAGTATGTAAGTCAACCTCTGAATCATTTGATGGATTCTAAATATAAAATTTACTTATAGACCCATGTGTGAGTTACCTTCCATCTTGATAGGGAGGATTCATCACATGCCAAGTCCTGAGCCCCTTCCCAAGCTGCTCTCCTCCCTGGGGTGGGCTGTCAGTCAAGAAGCCTGTGTAGGGTGTTCTCCTCAATGTTTAGTTTCCAGGCCCCTTCAGTAAAGAGCATAAAGGAATCAGTCGTCAGAAGTGAGGTCCTGGGACTGCATCCATATTTATTCTTGCTGTTTCACAGAGCAATATTAAGGCAGCTTTGAAAGGAGAAAGACAAGGTGGGCATATCCCTTAGTTTCTGAGCAGAGCTGCGAAGTAAATGTATCAAATATCTTCGACAGTGTAGAGAAATTTCTGCTTCAGCAGCTTATTCAGTAAAGTTGTGATTACAGTTTGTGTGAAAAATGTGAAATCTATAAATACAATCAGTTTGTCAGGTTAGCATATCTTACTCAGGTATTTTTTCATGTCACACAGAGGTGTGCTGTGATATATATAGAACAAGTCATATATATTTACAAATGTTCAAATGTAGTTAAAGGGAAGAGAGGAAAAAGATACATAAGTACCCATTTGTTTTAAAAAATTTTTTATTTTTCAGTTATAGTGGACATACAATATTATATTAGTTTCAAGTGTACAACTCAGTGATTAGACATTTATATAACTAACTGAGCACCACGATAAATCTAGTCCCCATCTGGCACCATACATAGTTATTGCAATGTTATTAACTGTACTCCCTATGCTGTACTTTACATCCAGTGACTATTATGTAACTGCGAATTTATGACCCAGTTGTTTTAAAATAGAAAGTTTTATCAAATGCCAATAAAGCACTACAATATGCATGAATAATTCCAGTGATTTATTTTTTCTTGGTAATTTATTTTACCCAAGGAAAAGGAGGAAAGAGATACAATAGTAACATGTCTTTGGTTTTAATTAAGGTTTAAATATTTTCTTTTTTTTCTCCCGCTAACCAGTGCTTTGGCCTTCTTGGGGTGAATGGAGCAGGAAAGACCACTATCTTCAAAATGCTGACTGGAGACATAATTCCTTCAAGTGGACACATTCTGATTAGAAATAAGACTGGGTATGAAAGACAAGTGCTTTAATATACTAAGCACTATGTAATTGAATGAAAAAAGAATTAAAGCAGATTCTTTATGTTCTTTTATGGTTATGGTATTAAATCCTCAGGTGTGTGTATGTGTGGCGGGGGGGATGGCTATTCAAGCAAATGGAAAGTTTTAAACTTTAAGTGTAACTGATGGTGGGATTCTTTTTCCTCTTTTTATCAGAACTACTTATCACCATGACTAAAAGAGAACTGCCTTCCCAACATTTGGGGATGGAGAGGGAACTAAGTTTTGAAACTGATCTGTGTCTTTGATTCTCCCAATTCAGATCTCTGGCTCATGTAGACTCTCACAGCTCACTAGTTGGCTACTGTCCTCAGGAAGATGCCTTAGATGACCTGGTAACAGTGGAAGAGCATTTGTATTTCTATGCCAGGATACATGGAATTCCAGAAAAGGATATTAAAGAAGTGAGTATAAGTGTGACAAACGAGATCATTTGAAAACCATATTGTTTCTGTTTTCCACCCCCCATCCCCTCAAGACCAAGTTGATATCTACAAAACGAAGACATTTCCTCCTGACAATGATAGTGGATACATATTAGCTTGATTGCATATATCATATACACACCTGTGAACTCAGCTTTAGAAGCTCCTCGGTTAGTTTTTGTTCAGTTATTTTTTAAAATATATTTTTATTGATTTCAGAGAGGAAGGGAGAGGGAGAGAGAGAAATAGAAACATCAATGGTGAGAGCTAATCATTTATTGGCCGGTTCCTGCACGCCCCTTACTGGAGATCGGCCCTACAACCTGGGCATGTGCCCAGACCGGAAATGGAACTGTGACCTCCTGGTTCATAGGTGGATGCTCAACTACTGAGTTATGCCGGTCAAGCTTTCAGATACTGCTTAAAAGCTATCGAAAAAAGGAGACATATGCAATACCCTTTGTAATACTTTAAGCAATAAAAAAAAAACCAAACAAACAAAAATAAAGAGCTACCAAAAAAAGGATCACACTGGCCTCGGCTGTGGGTGGAGCATTGATTGGTGATGCCTGAACCTCCTTTAATGTCCAGATACAAAATGGAATTACCTACAAAATGCCCAAGTAAAATAGAATAGTTTCCCATTTGAATTTTCAAATGTGGTTTTGTACTTCACTACAATTATTTGCCTTTGTGACGGAGTGGTTAACCCTCAGGGCAGTTCCCTCTATTTTTGCAACCCCAGGGATCTGTTGAAATCCTCCTAGAAATCTACTATTTGCCAGGGCTATTTAAGTGCAAAAATAGCCGCAAGCACTCATGATTCCTCAGTTAATGTGATAAAATTTTGAGACCAGGTCAGTTTAAAAAGTCTTAAAGCCTTTCTGACAACTGACCTCTCAGTAAGAAGGAAGATAAAACCATGAAGACATCAATGAGAAAGGCTGAATTCTGTTTTAGTTCTTTTAAGCTTAACAAGGAAACCCTGTGTTAATGTAGCAGAAAGAATGATCTGCAATTGCAAATGCAAACACACACACATACATGCCACACCTTTGGGTGGGGGGAAATCCCACTTGGAAATGAGCCTCCACAGAATCACTTTTATCTTTTAAATAATTATTAATTTCAAGTGGACCTTTGAAAATAAAAATAAAATCTATGTTCAGTTTAAATGTTTGAATTTTTCAGGTATATATTTCTTCACTATAAAAATGCTCTTTTCACAAACAGCTTTTATGTTTCTCTGTTTAGTGCTTTAAGGGTTTTGGTAGAAGTTCAACCTAACTCTCCTTTCCACCCGTAGACTGTTCATAAACTCCTGCGCAGACTTCACCTGATGCCTTACAAGGACAGGGCTACGTCTCTATGCAGTTATGGCACAAAAAGAAAACTATCCACCGCACTGGCCTTGATCGGGAAGCCTTCCATCCTACTGCTGGTAAGAGAAGCCATGAAAAAGGCTATTGCAGCCTGGCTGGTGTGGCTCAGTGGTTGAGCTTCACCCATGAACCAGGAGGTCACAGTTCGATTCCCAGTTAGGGCACATGCCACATGACCGTGTCGTGGGCTGGAACCCCAGTGGGGGGATATGCAGGAGGCAGCCAGTTGATGATTCTCATGACCATGTCGTGGGCTGGAACCCCAGTGCGGGGATATGCAGGAGGCAGCCAGTTGATGATTCTCTCTCATCATTGATGTTTCTCTCTCTCTCCGTCCCCCACTCTCTGAAATCAATAAAAACAAATATTTTTTAAAAGGCTACTGAACAATTAGAACCACATTTCCAATTGGGTGTCACATTTCATTCTCATTATTGGAATTAACATTTGTGAAGTGCACACTATGTGCTGGTTATTTTGCAAAGCACTTTACCTATACTATCTCATGAAAGGATAGTATAGGTCAGTGGTCGGCAAACTCATTAGTCAACAGAGCCAAATATCAACAGTACAACGATTGAAATTTCTTTTGAGAGCCAATTTTTTTAAACTTAAACTATATAGGTAGGTACATTGTTATTAACTTAATTAGGGTCCTCCTAAGGCTTAGGAAGAGCCACACTCAAGGGTCCAAAGAGCCGCATGTGGCTCGCGAGCCGCAGTTTGCCGACCGCTGGGTAAAGTGCTTTGCAAAAGCACTTTATTGCTGATAGTATATCAGCAAATAATTTGTTGCCATGACAGTTGCCCTCAAATATGTTTTTGTCTGAAGCTGTGCCACAGTCAGTTTCAGAGGAAACACTTGGCATGGGAATGGGAATTAGCTGGAATAAATTCAGGGGATACAAGTGAGTCAGTAATGGAATATGACAGAATGTGATTCCCAGTTACTGGAGAAATCAGTTGTATTGGTAACGGATGAGGTGAACTAACATATTTGTAAACTTCTAGAAAGGAGGAAAGACACATTTTAAGACAGTGTATTGCGCTAAAATGTTATTTCCTTGTTATTGAAAACCATGAGGTACCTAGCTTGGGATGTGATTGATAACCTGCTATATTATGTTATCTGAATTTTTCAAAGGCAAGAAATATAAATATTTTCGTTCAGAGCTAGAATATTAAACTGACCACCTGGGAATGTAAATTATACACAGGGGTAACATAGCATTCTGCTTCCCAGTATTTACTTCAGAGAAATAAGCTTGCCCTTATTTAGGAAAATCCCCTTCATTTAAGGACATCCATACTCCAAAAGAGCCTTAAGTATATGCAATAAAAATCCACTTATAAACCACCACATTATTCCAGGGATTAAGTCATGCAGAGGATCAGTTCATGTAAACTGCCCAGATGGAGTGATGCGCAGCCCAACTCTCTGTAATACCAGAGCTTACAATGTGTTATATCCCTGCCAATCGAGGCTTATAATGGAATTTTATTGTGTAAGTGTCCCTTAAATTGGACAAAACAATCCTTAGGTATTCCTGTGAGATAATAGATGTAAAGTACTTCAAAAGTTAAAAGTGCTGTGCAAATGTTAGGTATTAATGAGCTTCACTGAAATATTGGCTTTGAGAGAAAGATAGTATATTTTCTTTTATACTCATTTACTATATGTGCCATCATCTTCAAAAATAGGAGCCGTGACAATATATCCTTTACTGTTTATCCAAATTATCACTCATTTCTTTCTCTAAATTTAAATTTAAGCCCCTACTATAAAAACAGCCGCTGATGATCATATATGCATACTTCCCATTATATATATAATTTTTACCTAATCATAACCTGTAATTTGTTTGTTTAATCATCTGTTTGTCCTACTATTGCTTGCTTATCCATTGCTACATTTCTAATTTTATGTCTAGACAATTTTTGAAACAGCACTTACTTTTCAAATATAATTTATATCTTTCCATTTGGAAGTTTCTGAAAATCATATGCTTATTTCCCCAAAAAGTATGAAATTTCAATTAATGACATAAAACTAAAACTACATCTCAAGCCAGCTGGTGTGGCTCAGTGGTTGAGCATGGACCCATGAACCAGGAGGTCATGGTTTGATCCCTGGTCAGGACACATATTCAGATTGTGGGCTCCATCCCCAGTAGGGGGTGTGCAGGAGGCAGCTGATGAATGATTCTCTCTCATCATTGTTGTTTCTATCTCTCTCTCCCTCCCTCTCCTTTCCTCTCTAAAATTAATAAAATATTTTTAAATAAATATATATACCTCAAATGTATTAACTGAAAACTCAAATTGTGTTCTTTCCACTTCACATGGCATATTATCACTCACAGCCATGCGTCTGCTATCAGGAGCAAGGTAGCAATCTTGTTGCTGTTGGCTTCAAATATATATGTGACAATGTACTATTAAATGTAAAAACTCTGCTTTGTCAGTAATTGAAGTAGAATGTTTTCCAAAGAAATATAAGAGCCAAGTGTAAAGTTACAGGATGTCAACTTCAACGAGACACTTTTTAAAGCAGATTGTCAATTTTAAATGATTAATCCTGCGCTTTTAGACAGCTGCAGAAAGAAGTCTATTAAGTATGAACAAGTTAGTCGCAGGACTTCGCAAAGTGATTTTTGTTCTAGGCAAGTGAGATGTAGTGATTCATGTGAGAAGCCTCATCAAAAATTAATTAATTTGATAAATTTTTTCTTGTAACTTTCTATTAAGGATGAGCCAAGCTCTGGGATGGATCCTAAGTCAAAACGGCACCTCTGGAAGATCATTTCCGAGGAAGTACAGAATAAATGTTCAGTCATCCTCACATCTCACAGGTAAACTGAGTGCAGGAACTTTCAGGTCAATAGGTAGGCACGGTTCTAGGATGATGGGTGGGAAAACGTAATCCCCATGTAATATATATTGATAATGAGTGTTTACAATTAGATGAAAGTATTTTGTGTTTATAGTCTTAGGAACAAGTCAGGCAGGTTACATAATGAGAATCCAGCTCGGATAGGGCCTAAACAATCTTTTTAAAAACAAATTTCTTATGATTTATGACCCTCACAACTCAACTATGACTTCCTGTTGCTATTGCATAAAGTTCAGCATCTTTTGGCTTACTATGCAAGGCCTTTTATTATGTAAATTTCTAGCCCCCTTTTC